CAGCCCAGCCACTGAACTGGCAATGTAGACTCACTTTCTCAATACTATAGGTAATGACTAAAATGCATTGCCATGATAATGCTGCTACCTACGCTTTATTTGTTCAGTGGATAGGGGACTGTAAATCCGCAAGCAAATCAAATTAGTCAAATCCAGGTTAATCACCCTTCTCTTCTCCCTCGCCACAAAAAGGCTCTCATGCTCCACAAGATAAAACAGGCAAGGTAGAAAACAAGTCAGCTCACCTGCCCTGAGTTTCTGTATTTAGAAGCTAATGCTCCTGCAACTGCTCGGTCCACATCAGCACTATCAAACACTATAAATGGAGCATGCCCTCCAAGCTCCATGGAAACCCGCTTCACAGTCCCTGCAGCATGGTGCAGCAATACCTATACGTATAAAGCAAACATAGAACAGGATAAGTGTAACTGATTAGTTATCTGAAGAATCAGAATTTAAAGGTGGAGGGGGACTAACTTTGGCAGGGGATGAACTCCCATGATGAACCTACAAGATCACCACAGTGTCTGTCCATCTTTTTCATTCCCTTGCCAATTGTATCCTCTGTTTTTCCAGTGGGAAAAACCCCATTAACATTAAGAGGAACAAGATTTCACCCAATAACTTTGTCCAGCGTTTATTTAACTAGAACTTAAGGACTAGCTTTTCTACTTTCCCTTTCAAGATTGTTCCACAATACAACGGAGCTTGCTGTTAGGATTTTTCTCCTGATATCTTAAATTTTCCTTGGCTCACTGTCACCACATTCCTCCTCAGATCATTTTAGAGAATGCCTCTTCCTCCTACAGGGAAAGATTCTGCCATCTTACCCCACGCTCCTGTGTCTTATTCCTCAAATAGTCCTACTGATTTCCATGACACTATTTACATAGTAAGGCGAATACAATCTAGTCTTACGTAAAGATTTCATTTAATTAACCGCCCCCTTTCAGTAATGCACTTCATTATTGAGCAGCACATTGTAAAGTGTTCCCATTAGAGTTCAGTCATCACATAACCTGAAACAGCAGTATTTGGAGCTGAACTTTCCTGAGTAACTGCTCTCTGTCAAATTACAAACTGAAACAATGCACATTAAAAAAGGTATTAGTTACCAGATTAAATGGATAGCAATTCAAGGAAAAGTCCCAGACACAATCAGCAATGCATCTCACGAAGTGGGTCTTTGCCCATGAAAGCTTATGCTCCAACACTTTGGTTAGTCTATAAGGTGCCACAGGACTCCTCGCTGCCTTTGCAGATTCAGACTAACATGGCTACCCCTCTGATACTAAACACAATCAGGAATCTGTGGGGAGCCCTCAGCTGTCATAGGGAAGAAAGTTTGTTACAGTGTGGGGAAGAACCACCCCAAAGGAAAATTATGCCTGTCTCGCCTCAAAACTCTTCCCCTTGCTTTTCAAACATAATTACAGTAAAAACCCTTCAAACATTCACAATTTTATCATGTACCTTTCCTGTAGCAGTGGAGCCAGTAAAAGAAATTTTTGCTACTAAGGGATCAGTGCAGAGAGCCTCTCCCACAGCTGGGGTTTGTTGTCGGGAACAGGGGACAACATTATATACGCCTGGTGGAATTCCAGCCTGGTTTGCAAGCTGAAAGGAGAAAGGGAGAATATTTAGTTATAAAATAATATACTTTGTACAGGATTAGTTAGGTAATATTTTTATGTGAGCATATGTTTCTAATATTTGCTCTGAAGATATAAGCAATGAGTCAGTGGGAGTTAATGGGACCCAATATTGAAGCATCTTCAACATTACATGTTGGCGTTGCTATTTACACACAAATAGGCTGTTACCCACATGAACTAATGCAACGATATTCAAAGTTAAATCTGTCTTTTTACAAAGCACTTCAATAGCTAGTCTAATGTTGGAAATGTGGCCATAATATATTCCATTTATTTTGTTTGATTATTGTAAAGGTATTAAATCTAAAACAGCAGCTATTACATTGGCAATGGACTATACCAGGACAAAAGCTCACCTCAGCAAGTGCCAACGCTGATAATGGTGTGTCTTCTGCAGGCTTCACCACCACAGTACAGCCTGCTGCCAGAGCTGCACCAACCTTCCGTGTAATCATAGCACTAGGGAAATTCCACTAGGAGGAGAGAAATACGCAGTGAAAAAAATCAGAAGATACTTCTCGCTCTGCTCAAATAACTGGCTATTCTTGAAGCTTCTAGGAAGAATCAAAACAAATGTGATATAAGAACGAGCACTTACTTTATTTTCACAATTAGATACTTTTCAAAAATTGAAAAGGAGAGAACAGGCAGCACTTATAAAAGATTCTGTATAATGACTAACAATTATCTCGTGCTCTTAAAAATTCTAATTAAATGGCAAAGAGATGTCTACATCAATGAGAAACTGGAGCTGCCTATATTGATTCAAACATTTTGACCTTTTTGGGGCGCATCTTCTGCTAAGAGTATGTGTAGGGGAAAAAAAAAAGTTGAGGAAACAAACCTGCATTCCTAAGGACATGAAAACCAAAATCATGACAAGTATTTTCAGCATGAAGACGCCATTATTTGTCTCACAATATGTAACTCAATGTAGAAATGAGTAATCCTGTGGCACCTTAGAGACTAACAAAAATATGTATGGTCTCCTAAGCTATCATGGGCAAACCCACTTCTTCAGATTGAGTTTTTCCCGTGAAAGCTCAAGATACTATATATATTTGTATTAGTCTCTAAGGTGCCACGGGACTACTCATTTTTAAAGTTACAGAAGACATGGCTACCCCTCAATGTAGAAATATATCCAGATGAGTGCTGTATCTTATCATACCTTATATAGAACATAAGCTCTGCCCTACGTGGCCATACAGGGGAGGACAACCCACCAAGAACAAATAAGCAGGGACCATTTGGGGGTTTTGTTTTTGTGGGAGCAGGGAAACACCCTCCTGAATCTCCTTTCTCTTTGGCAGTGGTGGTATACACTGCTCCATCCTCAAAGCTGAGCTGAATGCCCTAAGTTAATCCTTAATCAGTCTGATAGATCCAGCTGCACTTACAGGGGTTATAATGGCTGCCACTCCAACAGGCTGCTTCAGTACCAAGATTCTTCTATCTTTCACAGAAGGTGGGATAATGTCCCCATAAATGCGACGAGCTTCTTCTGCAAACCATTCCAGGAAGGCGGCAGAATACAGAATTTCACCTTGCGCCTCTTTCAAGGGCTTTCCCTATGATTAAATCACAGTGCATAAATATTTTAAAGAGCCCAAAGTGATTGGGGAAAAAAAGTCATCTAGGTAATTTTTTTACTCTTATTATTATTATTATTATTATTATTATGGCACCTTGGAGTCTTAGTCATTGTTCTAGGCACTGTAAATGGCACTATGATTCCAGGTTACATAAATTTCAAACAGAGTCTGAGCTAAGGATTTATAGAAGTCTTCCCATTACTTCAATAGGTGCTGCATGGTAAATTCTATAGTAGAGGTTCTGCTAAATGAGACTTTCTTGCTTAAGGTCTGGGAGTTGTGGGTGCACATCACCACTCAGGATAAGGCTCTTTGTTGCCAAAGGGGTCCTTTGCTGGCAAAGAGGCCTGAAAGATGCTGAAATGAGTACATTTTTATATACGAGTAGTCCTGTGGCACATTATACTACCCAATATATTTTTAGGAGCTTCAGGGGGTAGCCAGAGTAACGTTAGTTTGAACCAAGGGGTTTGGTTCGAACACATCCCGGTGCGCACTTTTACTTTCGAAACAGCTGTTGATCAGAGTAACGTGAGATCATGCTAATGAAGCACGGGATATTTAAATCCCCACTTCATTGACTATTTCGAATGCCTACAGTTGCATCCCTAGTTCAAACTAGGGTGCAAGTGTAGACATACCCTAAGGAGCCACAGGACTATTGTTTTTAAAGTTACAAAATTTACCATAGGGGTAGTCATGTTAGTCTGTATGTTATACTCACATTCTCTGCTGTAATTATCTTAGCAAGGTCATCTTTATTATCCATCATCAAATTGTACCATTTGCGAAGTAACACACTTCTCTCCTGGACAAAGAAAAAAGGTATTTTAGCAAAGCTACCCTTGTTTTGAACATAGATAAGAATGTTACCATACTGAATTAACGTCATACTTCTCATCTAAATGAATGTGTGCTATTCAAAACTGTATTGGAGGGCTAATTATGCCAGTATAGACAATGGTCATTTTTTAGTTAGGTAACTTGACCCTGACAGCAACAAATGCTTCAGAGAAGAATCTTTCTTAAGTGGAAGTTTCATCCTCAAGATAGCTGGTAGAATATACCATCAGGCATGAATGCTTATCTCTCTCTATATAAAAAAGGTTTTCCTGCTGGACAACAGAATGTTCCCGCCGGGTGTCAGAATGACGTCATCACATCGTCTGTGTCAACAAGCTCTGAGGGGGATTGGTACTGGGCAGGGGCCGCAATGGGAACAGGAGCGCAGTGGCCCAGAGTGCCTGGTCCAACTGTGAGCACCTGGCCTCTGTGCTCTTCTGGCTCCACTGGGCTCCTCTCTGCAGCCTCCTGCTGGAGTCCCTGATGATGAGCAGTCGCTGCTGCTCTTAGCTTCTGGGGACTTGGTTGGCAGCGGCATGGTGACCAGCAAGCAAGTGTGGATGGGTTGTGAGGTAATGGGCGCCCATGTCAGATAAGGATCTTAAAGCGTGGTTACTTTCCTAATCAAGTAGATGATAGATTTCTCAGTCTGGCTTTCACCGAGGCCCAGTTTAACCTCCCCTGCTGCCACTCTGCATTACCAGGGATATGTGAGCCAGTGTGCGAATGCGCTGGCTCAGTCCCTACTCCCGCAGGTCATTGGTCAGTCCACATAACTGGCTACCCTATCCCTTACAATGCAGAACGGCAACAGCGGAAGTTATGCAAGCTGACCAATGACCCGCGGGAGCAGGGACTGAACCAGTGTCTTTGCACACCGGTTGCCCAGTCCCTTGAAATGCAGAGTGGAAAGTGGGATTAATGCTGATAAATGAGAGTCCCAGGACCAGGAACTGAGCTGGCATCGTCACGTGCCAGCTCCACTGTTCTTTGTAATGCAGAGTGGCACCAGGGGACATAGAGGTGATGCAACTAGTCGAGAGTGCTAACCAATAAGCTCCTGCTTATCAGTTAGTTGACTAGTCGCTTACATCCCTATTGTCAGACACAGCCCTGAGTATTGGGAGCACTTCCATTAACCAGGACATCTGGTGTGACCCTTCCCTGGTTGCAATGACTGGGAAGCTCTTCCAAGTCAAACCAGGTGGAGGGCTGGGATCCGAAAAGAGCATGGCTATGAACCTAAGCAGGACATCTTTATTAATTGCTCTTTGTTGTGTGTTGCTAATACCTGGCATTTGCTAGAGAAAAATCAGGCAAAAAACGAGAAGAGTTGCTGTTCCCTCTGCAAGACTTCTGCATGGCCCCCCAGAAGTACATATACCCCTGGCTAAGACCCAATGTTTTACAGTAAATGGCTTGTGGCTTTCAAGTCAGCTTTTAAATGTAAAGCACCATCTACTGTCCCCACTAATCCTCCTTTTCTATGTTACATTAGTGACAGATGAATTAGTAGCAGTGCCTAGAGGTGTCAGAACCTCAATGAGCTGTATGCTGCACTCCACAGCTATGTCTAGACTACATCTCTTTTTCGTAAAAGGGATGTAAATTAGACGTATCGCAATTGCTAATGAAGCAGGGATTTAAATCTCCCCCGCTTCATTAGCATAAAAATGGCTGCCTTTTTTTCCACACGGAGCTTTGTCAGAGAAAAGCGCCAGTCTAGACGCTGATCTTGCGGAAAATAAAGCCTTTTCCGAAAGATCCCTTACTGGCGCTTTTTCCGGCAAAGCTCCGTGCCGAAAAAAAGTGGCAGCCATTTTTATGCTAATGAAGCAGGGGAGATTTAAATCCCTGCTTCATTAGCAATTACGATACGTCTAATTTTACATCACTTTTACGAAAAAGGGATGTAGTTTAGACGTAGCCCACCAGTTCCTGCCCCAAAGCGCTTACAGCTGTAGTATGGGGTTTTACCACACCCACTAATAGAGGCAGCTAAATCAGGCCCTCTTTAGCTCTTTTAGTGTAGTCCCTCTCTGCAGCATTTTTAATAGGTATTCCCTATAAGATGAGCGCTTGGGAGGCTGCCCCTGAGCGATTCAAATTCCACCCAGTTGATTAGTAGAGCTCCCACAGCCAACAGCCAAGGAGCTGCTCTCCCTCAGCGGGGTATGAACCCCGTGAATGCCAGCACAGGCACAGCCCTTCAGATTATTTCAATCATAGAATCATAGGACTGGAAGGGACCTCGAGAGGTCATCGAGTCCAGCCCCCCGCCCTCAAGGCAGGATCAAGCTCCGTCTACACCATCCCTGACAGATGTCTATCTAACCTGTTCTTAAATATCTCCAGAGAGGGAGATTCCACCACCTCCCTTGGCAATTTATTCCAATATTTGACCACCCTGACAGTTAGGAATTTTTTCCTAATGTCCAATCTAAACCTCCCCTGCTGCACTTTAAGCCCATTACTCCTTGTCCTGTCCTCAGAAACCAAGAGGAACAAATTTTCTCCTTCCTCCTTGTGACACCCTTTTAGATATTTGAAAACCGCTATCATGTCCCCCCTTAATCTTCTTTTTTCCAAACTAAACAAGCCCAGTTCATGAAGCCTGGCTTCATAGGTCATGTTCTCTAGACCTTTAATCATTCTTGTCGCTCTTCTCTGTACCCTTTCCAATTTCTCCACATCTTTCTTGAAATGTGGCGCCCAGAACTGGACACAGTACTCCAGCTGAGGCCTAACTAGTGCAGAGTAGAGCGGCAGAATGACTTCATGAGTTTTGCTTACCACACACCTGTTGATACAACCTAGAATCATATTTGCTTTTTTTGCAGCAGCGTCACACTGTTGACTCATATTCAACTTGTGGTCCACTATGACCCCTAGATCCCTTTCCGCCATGCTCTTTCCTAGACAGTCGCTTCCCATCTTGTATGTATGGAACTGATTGTTCCTTCTTAAGTGGAGCACTTTGCATTTCTCTTTATTAAACCTCATCCTGTTTACCTCTGACCATTTCTCTAACTTGCTAAGGTCATTTTGAATTATGTCCCTATCCTCCAAAGAAGTCGCAACCCCACCCAGTTTGGTATCATCTGCAAACTTAATAAGCGTACTCTCTATCCCAATATCTACATCATTGATGAAGATATTGAACAGTACGGGTCCCAAAACAGACCCTTGCGGAACTCCACTTGTTTTCCCTTTCCAGCAGGATTTAGCACTGTTAACAACAACTCTCTGACTATGGCTATCCAGCCAATTATGCACCCACCTTATCGTGGCCCTATCTAAGTTATATTTGCCTAGTTTATCAATAAGAATATCATGTGAATATCCATGCCAGTATGCCAGACGCTCTCTTGCGCAAGCAAGCTCTGATGGCCATTTTAACCATCGGGCTTTCTTGTGCAAGAAATTCATGTTGCCTGTCTACACTGGCCTCTTGCACAAGAGCAGTTGCACAAGAGGGCTTATTCCTGAGCGGGAGCGTCAGAGTACTGGCGCAAGAAGCCCTGATTTCGCACATTAGAACGTACTTACGCAAGAACTCACGGCCAGCGTAGACAGGCAGCAAGTTTTTGTGCAAAAGTGGCCATTTTCCGCACCAATGTAGACACAGCCCATGGTTGTCCTGCTGGTGCGCATCTGCTCACGCCCGGTAACAAAATGTATTCTGCACGGGGGTGGGAACGGTGGCCCCAATCCTGCACTGGTGCTGCTGCGGGATCATACCCCCAGGGCGAGGAAGCCATGGGCGCACCTGCGGAGTAAATGCCCCACTCACCCCCAGGGGGTGTGCGGGGACCCTCTCCCCAGGCTCCGGGGGCTGGCTCTCCCCCCCCACGGGGGGA